AAAAAAAAAAAAACAACACACACACATACATAGATACAGCCGCACGGACACCATCGCGGGAATAGTCAGGAAAGCTTCCTAGGACCTCAAAACGTCGAGATCTGATGAAAACTCGATTTTCGATAAACGGGGTAAAATCAATAACTTCCCGATTTTTGAAAATTTTCAATTTTCTTAGCGGGAAGTTAAAAATAAAAACATGAAGCTATATGTAGCTTTTATTAACCTGAAAGCAGCCTTTGACACAGTGGACAGGGAGTTACTAATGGAAAAATTATAGAAACTAGAAACCAGAGGGAAAATGTACAATAGGGTTATTCAAAAAAAAAATTAGGCAAACGGTTGACCCTAAAGGCCATCCCTGCAACTTCTCGCTAATTCCGTTAATACCTGGGCGCTTAAAATTGCACCTACGAAGTTTTTGAGCTTTTCAAGCTCAAAAATACAATCTATGTGTTGTTTTGAGCTCTCTGAGCGCAAAAAGATACCTTTTCTATGCTCTTGAGCTCTTTGAGCTCAAAAGTCTGATAGAAGCTTCATAGAACACTATTTTTTGAATTTTCAAACCGCAAAAACTTTTGAATGAATCAACCGATTTTTACGCAGTTGTCAGAATTCTACGCAGATTTTTAAGCCTCATAAAGAATTTCTAAGATTCAATTGGTCAAACTAGAAATTTCGGAGTAACTCCGAAAAAACCCTTTCTTTTGGTTTTCTTTCGTTCACAATATCTCTCGAACGGATCGACCGATTTTGACCGGATTGGCGGCGATCAACGTGGTTTTTCAAGGTTAAGAGCTGATTAGTTTTTGGAATCGATCGGTAGAGCAGTTTAAAAGTTATTCTTATATATTATTATTACATTGTCATAATGTTTTACTAATAATTTGCATCGAAACGGTCCAAACTGTAACAGAACATTCGAATAAGTTTAAAATTTTTAAATTTAAGACGGGTGTACAGGACAACGTTGTAACGGTAGATTTCTGCTACTATGTCGCCCCTTATTTAATTTTTAAATTTAAAGGCGCAACTGGAATTTTCATCACGGTTTCCAGAACCGGTCCGAGCTATGAGAGATATCTAAGGGTCGAGAGAGATTATAATTAGGTTAACACAAATAATAACAATTAATTTCAAATTAACTCCAAATTTATTCAATTGACTGTTACAATAGCCTTGAATATTTTATATCTCACACACACACACACTCTTATAAGATATCAAAATAAACTTAATCCTAACAGCACCCTCATATGGAGCGTCTATGCTGTAGTTTCTATCATAGTCTCTTATTCCTGACGGTACCCTCATATGGAGCGTCTATACCGCAGTTTCTACCTAAATCGCGCTGTCCACCGGACCCTCACGCTCTATGACTCTAGATTTGACCTTGGGTGGTCGCCCGGACCCCTGCCCAAGGCTCAAACCGTCCTTAGCCCTTTCGCTGTCGCCCGGTCCCTTACTACGGGACTAAGGAACCTGAAGTCGACTAAGACAGAGGAGGTTACCATGAACTTAGTCGACAACCCGCTAATACTAACCTCCTCGACAGCCCGTGAACGAGGAGTATATAATGTAAATTATTTGCCACACACACACACACGCTTTTAATAAAACAATTTAACTAATTATCACACTATTTCTAATTAACAATATTTAAAATAACTCACTTAATTTTACTTAACAAAATTCCTAATACTCGCATTTTATAATACACTTTCCTGGGAATCAAACTCAAATTATCCCGGTTCCTAACCACGACTTCGATAAATATTTAAATTTAAATTCTGATTTCATATTATTATTATTATTATTATTATTTAATTTATCACAGAAACTTTTCTTACAACCAAAAATTTTAGATTTATTTTAATTAGATAAAATGGTCTTAAGAGCATTTTGTCTATGTGAATAATTATTAACAACTATCATAAGCTTTATTTTTATACCTATGTCTATTTTTAATCTAATCCTTTTAATATAAATATTTTTTTTTTACTTAGTTGATTTTATCAGATAGTTTATTAGCAATTATCAAATGCTTATGTATAATTTTCTAACCCATTGTACGAATAATTATGTATTCTTGAACAATTAATAAATTATTATTATTATAGATTTATTTTAATTGAATTTAATCTGCCTGATTACTCGGCTTAGCGTCCATCTTGAATTCCAAAGTGGATTTGAGAAATGAATATTAGTTTGGCTACATTTTCCAAGTTCAAAATTTTACTGTAAATTTCCTCAACAATTATTTATTGGAATTTGGAAAAATTTATTTATCGAAGTCTTGAACAATTTAATTTAATAATAAATTTTGCTTTTAATAATTTTATAATTTTAATTTATTTTAATTCTGTTGGAGAGTCTTTGATAGATGTATATGTGTGAGAGAACACACGCTAATGCGCGTGTGCGCCGCGCCGCGCCGGTCGCACCGAGGCACGTCGGTGCTCCTTGGCTTCACTTGTCCGCCACACATAGTTGCGTATACATCGTTGAATGTTTGAGAATATTACTATACTGTATTTTAAGAGAATATATCGAGTTTGATTTAATAATCATACGTGTTGTTAATTAAACACCCATAAACTCTGCCCATCCTTCTACACTGAAAAAAAAGTTTTTTTATACCAAGGAAATGTTTCCTTATAGTTTACTAACCATAGGAATAAGTTTACTGGATATAAAAAAATTTGGTATTCTCATTATTAAAATACTAAAATCAATATGGCCGACTTAACCTCGCTTGGTCGACACGAATCTTCAGGATATATCCTCTTAATTATCTATAGATAATTATGAGAAACTATACTTTTTATAATTCTTCATTTATAAACAATCTATCACACTAAAATTAATAAAAAATTGAAAATAGTATATTAAGCCTTTCTTTTCTTATTCTTAATTCTTATTGTTGTCAAAAAATTGCAATTTCTTGCTAATAGCATTATTTTACTAATTTACTAATAACATTACTAAGGTAAAAGACCTAGTTATTGACACTTGCAATTTTATTTTAATTAAAAAAAAATAAATCAACTCTGATAATTTAATAAATATTATATTTGAATTATAAATTTTAAGATAATTGGTTTTTTGAGAACATTTTATTTTTTTAATTAGAATAAAATTGCAAGTGTCAAACAACTAAGCAAGTGTAAATAACTGGGTCTTTTACCTTATTATAAAAATTGATTATAAGGAAAGAATGTATTGCTAAAATGAGTTATAAATTTGTTGGAGATGATAAATTCCACTCTGACAACTTCTTTTGCATCCAAGAATCCATATAAGTAAGGGAGTAAGGGGAAGTAATATTAATGATTAATGCTTTTATTTATAATTTATAAATTATTTAATTTACACAAATAAATATTTAGGTAAGTAGACTCAGGCACGAGGTAAACTAAAAAACACGCGTACACTGTAGATTGGAGGGAAATGACAAAAATAGTGGCGCCACCGTCACGGTTGCTATGGTAACATAGAATTTAGTTTTAGTCCCGTTAAAAAACTTGGTATTCTCAGATTTAAAATACCAGTTTTCTTAAATCTAAAATATTTAACTTGACTTTTACTGCATACAAGAAAACTCGTCTAAAAAATATTCGGTATTCTGGGTATAAAAAAACTTTTTTTTCAGTGTAATAGGTTATGAGTTAAGTGCACGCATACACTGCGCAAAATATTTAAAAAGTGAAAAGTTCATTGTGAATTATAACTAAGAGTATATCACCCAGAGATCAGAGGACATTTTTTTTGTGTGGACAAACCACCAAAAGCGAGGTAAGATTATTTTGTCTGATAAATAAATCTAATCAGTGCATAAATAATTAGAAATTAAAGTTCGAATGAAAATTAGAGAAAAGTGTTAAAAATTATTAAATTACGAGAATAAAAGCATTTTTGCACGAGTTCAAGATGGCCGCCGAGTCACCAAGTCGACAAGCCGGCACAAAGCGCGCGCTTGCCTGCTGGGACTTGCACGGTCGAGCCTTGTAACCCGAGACGCTTCTGAGAACTGAGTATGTACTTATACACACACACAGACGATAAAAGAAAGAGAAAATAAATTCTTTTAAATACAAAACTAGCCAGTTTAAATAAATAAAACCGAAAGAAATTTTATGATTATATATATCTTAATTTCCAAAGTTTTAACCATTTGTATAAAAACAAATGAATTATTACGGGGCAATGTGCAAGTGTAGATTTGTTGTACAGCTACACATGCGCATTGACTAGGGACAGAGAAATTTTTATGCATGTATCCCGGTACTTGTGCGTGATCAACCGACTCTAGTGAATTTTCATTGCCGTGCGTGAAAATTACACACTAGTACAGGTGTGCAAGTCCGAGGTGATGCTGCGTGGAGTTTCACAGTCCAGCTTCGAATCAAAACAACCTGTTGTACAGTTGTCAAGGTTCAGAAGCACGAAACAAATAAACAAAAACAGTGTCGGGTGTTAAGAGCAGAGTATAGAGAGTTAGAGAAATCCAAATAAATCAAACAATAAAAATTTATTTGTTTCAAAATCCCGTAACAGAGACGACGAAGTATTACAAAATGGAGGATCACGACAGAGAAGAAAAGTTGATTGTTGATCAACAAGAAAATCATAAAGAGAGCGAAGAAGAAGAGTCACAAGAAAAAGAGGAATCAGAGATTATTACTGTCGAGGTTCATCAAGAAGATGAAAATACAGAACAAGAGGCGTCCAATGAAGAGGTCTTGGACCTATCCATAAAAAGAGATCTTCCATCAACATCAGAAACAAACACTGGTAACGATGATAAAAACGAGAATGATGAAAGTAAGTTAATATAAAATTTTTAATATAATAACAATTACTTCGTTCATCCTAATAATAATAATTAGAGTAAAGCTGTAAAAATTAGAGAATAGAATCTAGAAGCCAATATTAGATAACAGAGTTTAGAGATTAGAAGTTTCTAATAATGGTATTAGAGTCAGAGGAGGCCTCAACACGAGAGTTAAAATAAAACAAAACCAGACACTAATTTAGAATATTTTCACAGCAAACAAAGAGAAAAAGAAGAAATCCAATCCAAAGATGGTACGAATATTAAACGTCACCTCACTGGAAGAAAGCATGAACGTAGCTAACAAACTTATGACGGAAACTATGGTGAGAGTGACTTCTTCAATGGAGCTAATGGCAAGACATGCAGCAAACATGTCAGACACTGCCATATTGCTCAAGAAGACCTGCGAGAAGTTAAACCAAGTTACCATTGAAAACATGAAGATGGCAAGCATGCTGACAGAATTTGGAGGAAAAGAGGTCGAGGCAATTAAAGAGAGAAACAGACTCTTAGAGGTAAACCCTAATTTTTCTAACGCAAAATCAGAATCAAATAAAAGAAAATCTAATATAACCCAGTCAAGCCCCATTAAGAGATACAAAAATGATGAAAATCAATTTAGTAAAGAGTTAGAGTCAATTAAAAGAAGGTTAGAGCAAAAAGATTGAACAAATGCGAAAATAAATATCAAGAGAGATTATAAGTTAACCCAAAAATCAAACTTTGATATTTGGTATGACTATTTAAAATCAGAGTTAACCAGTCATGAGTTATTAGAGGTATTAGAGTCAAAATCCACGAATAACACAGAATCACCAGAACCGATGCTTGATAAAAAGAAAAATTTAGTTAGAGATATCATCATCAACCACATTGATGAGTATTACCATAAAAGAATACTAAATATTACCGAACCAGCTGAAATAATTAAAAAATTAAAAGGCCAACGTCGAGATGAAACCAATGTAACATCTGCTTCGGTTCGGAAAAATTTATACGCGCTTAAAATGCAGAAAAACGAGTCAGTAGTCCATTTCTGTGAAAGATTTGATGCAATTGTTAGAGAATACGAAACTTGTGGTAGCGGAGAACCACTAACTGCACAAGAGCTGAGATCAGCTTTTTATCAAGTAGTTACACCCATAATACCCCAACTAAGAGACGCTGATTCAATTAGAAGAACTAATTCAAATGAAATGAGCTTGGAAGAAATAAAATCATTCATTTTACAGTTAGAGGCAGAGAAGAGAAGCGAGTCACAAGAGGTCGAAGCGAACAGAGTAAACACCAACTCCAAAGTTGGCAAGTGTCACCGCTGCTCAAAATTTGGTCACTGGGAGAAGGAATGCCCATTAAAACCAAAAAAATTATGGCATTGCTACATTTGTGAGTCTGTAGTAGATCATAAAGGTACAGATCACAACTCCGGATCAGTTAAACTGAATAAGAGGTATGTTGACAATTCTACACGGGAAGAAAATTGAAGGAGTTATTACTATTTTACTATTGTAATTTTTACTAAATAAAATAGTAACGGTGGACTATACTTCTCATTTAGTAATTTTTACGATCTACTATTGTAAATTTTATCCAACAAATAAGACTAGCAAGAGTTTTAAAAAGTCGAATACTATAGAGCAAATTATACAATATGTGTTTGTGAACTTTACAATTCAACTATTGTAAAAATTCACAGTTGGTTTTTTTAAAAGAAATATCAGGGAGGGAGGGAGGGAGAGAGATAGAAGGTTGCACAAATTGGTACCTGTACAGTAATCGAAAAAAGAAACAAATAGTTTCGTGCTATCTGGGAATCGAACCCAGAAACTCTGTGTTGGTAGCCAGAGACTCTCCCTTTAGGCTATCCGAGGTAAACTAAGACCCATGTCCTTTAACATTTATATAAACTAAGAGTCTAGCGCTATGCACGGCCATCACTCACACTAATTGAGAGACATTCATCCAATTCAACTATTGTAAAATTTGCTATAGTTCTATTGAAAAGATACAGAGGCAGCACTGGAAATTTTCAATACTTTTTACAATAGTTATATCGTATTTTTTCATGAATAAATAGTATTTTTTCTTCTAAAATATTTGATAATTAATAGTAATAAAAGTATAGTCCAGCTTTACAATAGATGTATCGTAAATTTTCCCAGAAATTTCTTCCCGTGTAAAGTATAAAAAGTCGTACCTAAGTAGATCTGCTCTGATCAGAGCAGATCTAATTAGATATATCCATATCACCTTCATGATTACATATATTCATCAAGCTTGATCTGACTTGATCTAACTTGATCTGATCGTATGTAACTTAATCTGATCATTTCTAAACTTTTTTTCCCGCGAAATAATCAGATTAAACTAGATCTACATAGATCAAGTCAGATCTATATATATATATCTAATTTTTAATTTAGTTTTGATCAAACTTGATCTGGATTGGTCTAATTTGATCTGATCAGATCTAGTTTGATTAGAGGTAAAACATTTAAAACTCATGATAATTTTAAATCTAAACAAACTAAGAGATATGACTCTAATAACAAAAGAGATTATAAAACTAAAACAAATGGGTTAGAGAATCAAGAGATGAAAGGGTTTAAAAATAATAAAAATAACTACAAAAACAACAACAATAAAGATAAAGAGTCAAGAAACATCAAAGCTAGAAGAGTAAAAGATTCAGATGATGAGAGTGAACAGTCAAGAAGCACACAAAGGAGCAAACTAAATCATTCGACGAGTACGACACGTACTGCTGCAGAGCTGTGATGATAAAAGACGATGAAATTCGTAAGCAATCACATGAAATCTATCAAGACAAAAAATTGTCAGAGTCGGAGGGAGTAGAGAAAAATAGAAAAATGATAGATCATGTAATTGGGAGGGAGGAAGTAAGTCACGCGGTGCAGTCTTCTCCCCACTCTTGAAGCACTTCTACTCTAGGTCCCAGAACTTATTTTATTTAATTTTCACTGCGCGAGCATCTTAGATCACAGCGCCCTGTGATCCGTCGATAATTAACCATAGTCAGGGTGAGGGCCTTCAATAGATAATAAAGGAGCTCCATGACAACGTCTGTCGGGTACGCTAGTGTTATGTAAAAAAATATTAATTTAGGGTAATTAATTAATTTTACATTTAAAATATTTAATGTGTTCAAGTATTCGATCCTAGCGTGTTAGGCTAATAGAGCGGGAACTTCCGAGTTTTAATTTATTGAGAAAGATAGGTTTGTTTGAATAAATTGATGTAGTTGAATAATTTTAATACATATATTGTTTAAGTCCAAAAATAATATCATTAGTTAATTTACAATAGTTACAATTATTACACAGTGATTGAAGTTGACTTTTCTTTCATATAACAATTTTACAATATTACTAAATTCATAAATATTAATAATTTAAAATATACCTGATAAAAATTGGTGAATCTTGTTAATTCAATTTGCTTTAGTTGATTTCACATCCCGATTTTATTTTACTTTTACAAATGTTTTACTTTCTATACAATAGATTTACACGTGGTCTATTGAGACTTATTTAAACTATGTACGATGTTAAAACTAGGACGTCAGGACAACGAGAGAGATTTTTTGGTGACAATTGCGAGGTGTCAAATTTTAGGGCGTAACTAATTTCCGCTCATTGGGGGAAACAAATGACCAATTATTTGTCTATTTTCTTGGGCCCTTACCCTCTCTCTTAAATTTGTCTACAAATGTTGCATGAGTCCCTCTACTTGGGTCGGAGTGCAACATACTTTCTGACTTACTCTTATGTTCTATTATTCATCTATGTGTTTGTGTATACGTAAGCGCATTTACGCATAGACAAAGACATACATTTGTACTGTCTACATTAATTTATTTATTTAAATCGTATGGATAAATATGTACTTGAATCTTACATCTCTTACGTTTTCTTGAATTTAATTATTTATTTGTAGAAATATTTCTGTTTTATCGTTTTATAAATTTGTTGTATTATTTTAGAATTTAATTGTTTAAAATTTGATTATTTTAAATTATTTAACTTTCAAGTTTTATTTTTCTATTTGTTTTTTATTTCATATTTAATTTTGTTGTCTAAAAATTATTTCAGAAAGTGCATTACTCGATTTTTTTATAATTAATAAATATGTAAAGAAAAATTTTCTTACATAACACTAGTAATAGGATAAAATTGTTTATTTTTTTGGTTTATAGCAAAAAAATTCCTTAAAAGCATTATATTCATTTAATTAATTGAAAAAAAATTATTAGTCAACATTTATCAGAAGTTCCATTTATATTTGACAAAAAAATTGATCCTTATTTTGACGCTGAAACCAACAGTTTCAGTGTAATTTATAAAATTCGATCAAACTTTTGAAAAATTGAACTTTGATCTTAAATAACTTTTGAACGCGTGGACAAATAAAAGAATTTTATCAGACCTTTTTTGTAGTATTCAATTGTCTATGAAGATTAGAACAGCAATTTATAAGTCAATCAGTCGATTAGACGGTATAAAAATCAGAAGCAGAATTAATTTTCCCCATGTTATTCTTGTGGGAATTAAAAAAATGCGATGCGGACAATTTTAATATTAATATTAAGGGCTCATCTTTTCACAGTAATTTTTTTACACCCAAAAAAACTTTTGAGCCTGTTAGGAAGAAAAAGAAATTTTTTATTTTTTTTTTTAATCACCCTATTCTACATTTTCCTTCTGGTTTCTAGTTTCTATAATTTTTACATTAGTAGCTCCCTGTTCACTGTGTCAAAGGCTGCTTTCAGGTTAATAAAAGCTACATAGAACTTCTTGTTTTTTTTTTAATCGATTATTGATGAGTGGGTAGAGTAGAAAAACGCGATCTCTGGTGCCTTTCTTTGTCCTAAGGTACTGCGCGTTTTCAGCCCCCGAAAAAATATCCTCGACAAAACATCCTCCGACAAAATATCACTCGACTCAATATCCTTTGATAAAATATTCCCCAGTATAAGGAAAAATCCAAAAGAGATTAAGTGATAAGCGAATAATCATCATAATACTCTTTAAAATACCTACTGCAGACAAAATCCGTAAAAAAAGGGCACAGCACGATAACACGCTTATGTGTTGGTCTACTGTCGAATAAACACACACAAAATCTATGATAAAAGGGCACAACACGGTAACAAGCATATTTTTTGACGTATTTTTAGATAAACACACAAAATCACGTTTCTATTCATTATAAAATCACAAAATCCATTCTAACTTCTAATCTATTTTTAACTTCCCGCTAAGAAAATCGGGAAGTTATTGTTTTCACCCCGTTTTGCAAAAATCGAGTTTTCATCAGATCTCGACGTTTGAAGGTCACAGGAAGCTTCCCTGACTATCCCCGCGAGGTTGTCACGGTATCTGTGTGTGTGTGTGTGTGTGTGTGTGTGTGTGTGTGTGTGTGTGTGTGTGTGTGTGTGTGTGTGTGTGTGTGTGTGTGTGTGTGTGTGTGTGTCGTGTGTGTGCATATATACTTTCACGTATAACTCAAAAATAATTACTTATGCACTTGTCATTATATTTAAAACTTCCTATATTAACATTTCATATTTATTCATAAGTTAACCGCGACGTTAACATGTCCAAGTTTTCTTCGCTAAAACTTTCGAGTCGGTTTAGATATATATAATATATCTAAACTATCTTTACATATATATAATACTGAAATTTTAACGCGAGCATTAAATATTACAACTATCCGAGGATTCTGGAAGGTATGCTCTACGTGAAACTTTTGAGTTCAATACACGTCTGAACAGTACCCTATATAACTTGTGATCCTTTCCACTTTGTAAAATCCTGGCTAAATCCAAGAGGACTCTGTTAGAATTTGCATAGGAATGAGGCAAAAGATTAAAATGCCCTAGCATGTCAATTAGTGCGGAGAAAGGACCCTGCATTTCAACGAATCTGTGAACCGAGTCTACATGCATACTATACATAAGTAGTAAAATGTTTTGTATAGTCAGCCTCAGATGCTTACGGGACTTTCGTAATCTGCGCGTACTAAATTAGGCCGCACAGCTGAGCTACAGCTTAAGCCGACCTTTTAAAGAATAACATAATCCTCCTATACTGTTTTATGTCACCATAATAATATTCATGAAAAATCCATTATAATATCCGTTATTTTAGGAAATATTGAGAATAAGATGATTAATAATAATAATTACAAATAACAATAGGGGTACGACATCCCCCTAAGCCGGTTATTACTTTTTTGGACTTTTTACTATTATCTTAATTAATTTACTTTACGTCTACTTTGAAAAAATTTACTAAAATTTTGACAAAAAACTTTTTCCTTATTGTTATTGCCCTTATTGCAATGGAGTTTATCCAGGATTTAAGAAACCATGGATTATGTGCAAAAATCGTGAAAATTGGTCTCATAATATCTGTGCAGGTATTGATGAAGATTATTCCGATGAATACATTTATCATTATTTTAAAACATAATTAACCGATTATCAATATTTGATATTTGATTTTTTTTTAAAAGTTTAATTATTGCTACATTTTTACAAATTGATCATAAATTATAATTAATATTATTGTTGAGGTCTTACACATGAGAACATAAATAGATTAATTGAAAATTCATGAAATACTGGATGAATATTCTAAATTCTACATTTATAACTATTGTTTTTGTGAAGAAAGCAGGAGAAGCGGGGTGGCAGAGGGGCGTCGCGAGCAGCGAGAGCCAGCACCGTGGAACTCACCGACGATACGAGCGAGCGACGGACGCGAGCCACCGCTACCGCGTACGATTGCCTTTGTCACGGCGACTTAATTTGTATTATTAGAGTATCATTATTTTTATTATTATTATTAATAACTATTTGAGAATTATACATTATTACATATTGTATACAATACTATTATTACATAGAAACAATTATTATGTTAATGTGTTATGATGTTTACGACGATTATTATTGTTTATCACGTCGATTATTATAAACTTTAATTATTATATTATTTCAGTTATTATTGTTATTATTTTAGTTATTATATTATTATTTAGTTTATTATTGTCATGATTAAAATATCACGGTAAGTTTTGATGATATTATCAGTTTGAAGAATGTGCAAAATTATTATATCTCGAGCGAGTTTAGTGAGGAAGAAAATAATTTTGAAATCATTAAAAATAAAGTACAAATAGTTAGAATTTGGCCGACCGAATAGATTGAAAATGAAGGAATACCGATTGGGACTTAAAATAATTACGATTGACACAATTCTTTCTCGGAGAATTACTCGGCGGAAGACCATTCCACCAGCAATTCGAGAGGATACCACTCTACCTAAAGTCCGATCGAGACACAGGTAAGTGCCGTATACCTAACCGACTTCCCTTGCCAAGGCCTTCAGCTGAGGTATGGTAAGTGACTATAGTCGAGTAGGTGGGGACGAGTGTGAGACCATTTGCTCATTCTCTGAGACAGCGTAGGACCCTCGGGGTGGTGACCGCCACCCTGGAGGGTACTGGGGAACCAGCTCGTGTCATGTAGACCGCAATTTTGATTGAACCGCGAATACCGTCGTACACGGAAAGAAAATTGTATTCTGTAGGCGGCAGCATCGTAAAAATCAACATACTGAAAGTCTAGTCCTGGATTACGATGCTACCATTGTAATTTTTCATAGGATTTTTTTCCGTGTATATGTGTGAAAGATTGTACCGTGGTATTGGGTGTATTGTTTATTGTTAACTGTTTTAAATTATTGATT